TTTGCATCAAGTACTTCCTGATGTGGAGCAACAGGAAGCACCCAGAACCTCCTACCTCCTATGAAGTATTCTTGACAAAAAACAACTAAGCTTCTACATCCAACTACTAATTACCTGCTTATAGGAAAAATGGAGGGTAAAGGAATAAATAATACCAAAAGCAAAATAATTAGCCAAACCTAGAATGTAGGAAATTATACAGGATCTCAGATGGCGGGGCTGGGGGGGCTGCTGGAGCGGGGCGGATATGGTTAAGTGGGGAGACCATGACTGAGGCTTAAAAAAACAAATAATACAGCATGTGGACCTTGTTCATTCAAGTCCTGATTCAAAGAAACCATCTGTAAATGCCATTTTTCTCTGAACAATCATAAAATTTTGAATTATGTACTAGGTAGTAAATACTAAGAAAATCGTAGTAAAAAGGCACTGATAATTTTTTTAAATCCTGACCTGATAAGAAACACATCCTAACATATTTAAAGGTAAAATGACACATTTGTGATATGCTTTAAATATTTCATTAAAAAATTGAAAAAGGGGCACCTGGGTGGCTCAGTTGGTTAAGCGACTGCCTTCAGCTCAGGTCATGATCCTGGAGTCCCGGTATCGAGTACTGCATCGGGCTCCCTGCTCAGCGGGGAGTCTGCTTCTCCCTCTGACCCTCCCCCCTCTCATGCACTCTCTCTCTCTCAAATAAATTTAAAAAATTAAAAAAAAAGAAAAAGAAAATCTTAAAAAAAAAAAAGAATTGAGAAAAAATAGAAAAAATATTGAATTGAAATAACACACTTTATTGAGTGGTACACACCAAACAGAAGAAATCACAAAAATTCCAATTATCTATTGCATCTTGAAAAACTAGTACTCAGAAAATACTCCAGTTACGAAAAAGAATCTACATTATTAACTGTACTACTTTGGCTCTCTGGAAATGTTTCTTTCCAGCTAATAATAAACCTTAGAGATAAGTATAAAAAGCTGAAAAGAGGGGCACCTGGGTGGCTCAGTCAGTTAAGTGTCTGCCTTGGGCTCTGATCTGCAGGGTCCTGGGATCAAGCCCTGCATCTGGCTCCCTGCTCAATGGGGAGTCTGTTTCTCCCTCTGCCCCTCCTCCCCCACCCCCTCGTATTCTCTCGCTCTACTCTCTCTCAAATAAACTTTTTAAAAAATCTTTTAAAAAGCTGAGAAGAACTTGTCTACTAAATGAATGAGGGAAGAAAGTTCTTTCTGCAGTTTTCTTGCTTTCATAAGAACTCTCCCTTTGGACGCCTGGGTGGCTGTTAGGTTGAGCGTCTGCCTTCGGCTCAGGTGATGATCCCAGGGTCCCGGGATCGAGCCCGCATCGGGCTCCCCGCTCTGCAGGAAGCCTGTTTCTCCTTCTCCCTCTCCCCCTGCTTGTGTTCCTCTCTCACTGTGTCTTTCTCAAAAAATCTTTTTTTTTTAAAGATTTATTTATTCATTTATTTATTTGAGAGAGAGAGAATGAGAGACAGAGAGCATGAGAGGGAGGAGGGTCAGAGGGAGAAGCAGACTCCCTGCCGAGCAAGGAGCCCGATGCGGGACTCGATCCCGGGACTCCAGGATCATGACCTGAGCCGAAGGCAGTCGCTTAACCAACTGAGCCACCCAGGCGCCCTCTCAAAAAATCTTAAAAGAAAAAAAAAAAGGAAGAGTTTATTTACAAAAAAGGATTAAAAAAAAAAAAACCTCTCCCTGGAACAAACTGATGGTTGCCAGAAGGGAAGAGGTGGAGGGACAGGCAAAATGGCTGAAGGGGAGTGAGAGATACAAGTTTCTGGTTAGGGAATGAGTAAGTCACAAGGATAAAAGGTATAATACAGGGAATATAGTCAATGGCATTGTTGTGTGGTGACAGATAGTAGCTGCACTTGTGGTAAGCACAGCATAATGTATAGAGCTGGCAAATCACTACATGTCCACCTAAAATGAATGTGACATCGTGTGTTAATTGTATTTCAACTTAAAAAAATAATAAATACAATAACCCAAAAGGACTCTTCTTCAAGAGAGATGTGTTTATTGACAGAGAAGCCATGGGACACCTGGGTGGCTCAGTCGGTTAAGCATCTGCCTTCAGCTCAGGTCATGATCTCAGGGTCCTGGCATCAAGTCCCCTGTATGGCCCCCTGCTCAGTGGGGAGTCAGCTTCTCCCTCTCCCTCTGCCCTTCCCTCTTGCTCTCTCTCTCAAATAAATAAAATCTTAAAGAAAAAAAGAAAAGAAAAGAAAGCCAATTCCACCACTTCATTCCACAATACAGCAGAATTAGGGATATCCCAGAGCAGGTCAAACTACCCTGGCTTTTCAGTGCATTTGAAGCGTGAAGGACTACCGCACATGAGCCTGGAGAGGTGACTCAGGAGGCACTTCCATTTCCACACTCTCACTCCCCTCACTGCGTATGTGTGCAAGAGCTTATACAATTGGTCTCCAACTTACAGTCTCCATTCCTGCTTGGTACTCTTCTCCAAGTTTCCACTTTCACCACTCAATCCCCACCATGACGAATGATGAACTCAAGTGTCTTCAATGTGTCCAATCCTTTTATCACTTACCTCCCAGGTGTTTTTAGTACTGAGTTTTTCAAACTACAAGTTGTACCCCCGTGAGTCTTAACTGCTCCCCTCCATTAATGATATAGAACAGAATAGAAAATAAAAGTAAATAACAAAGGTAAGTTTTGTTTTGTGGAACCTGTTTCTGTTATTGAAAATAGCCAACACAACACAGTTAAGCACCTTTGTATCAGGCACTCTTTAAAGCAATAACTTTTTTTTTTTCAATAACTCATTCAATCCTTACAGAGATCCTATTAGGTAGATATATTATTGTCCTCATTTTCAAAGGGGAGACTGAGGCAGAGAAGAAGATAACTTGCCAAAAAGTATGGTCTTAAGAGTCCAAGCACTCTGGCTGCGGAGCCAGAGTTCTTAACCATTCCCCCTCCTATGCATAATGGGTCACAATATAAAACATTTCTTACTGGGGGTCATGGTTTAAAAAGTTTGAAATCCACTGCCTTTGGATTTCACATAGTATCAGGTACCTGTCCTTCTTCCTCTTCTGTGATCTACTTTCTATTGAAAAGTCTTATTCTTTTACCTAGGTCAAAAGTCACTTCCTTGGTGACTCTTGACACCCCAAGGGAAGCTGATGACAACAGAGCCCCTCTATTACCACTTACTACATTTTATTTTTTATTTGTGTCCTCCACTGGACTAAAATCAGAAAGCAGTTTAGGGCGCCTGGGTGGCTCAGTTGGTTGAGCGACTGCCTTCGGCTCAGGTCATGATCCTGGAGTCCGGGGATCGAGTCCCGCATCGGGCTCCCTGCTTAGCGGGGGGTCTGCTTCTCCCTCTGACCCTCCTCCCTCTCATGCTCTTTCTCTCTCTCTCTCAAATAAATAAAATCTTTAAAAAGAAAAACTTAAAAAAAAAACTACCGTACCATTCAGATGTTTAGTTCTTACCAAATCTGTTACACACCTACACAGGCAAAATGTGTAGCAAGAGTATATTCCATTTGCAAAACAACATGCCAGGAACAACCTAAAACTCCATCAGTGGGGAACTGGTGAACGAAACTGTTGTACAACCCTCTAAAGCAATACTATGCAAGTGTTTAAAAGAAAGTATATGTATATTTGATGGAAAGCTGTCCCTGATATTATCTGAAAAACTTAAGGTGCATAACAATGCATACAAAATGATCCCACTGTTGTTTAAAAATGTGAGTACTGGAGGAAAAAGTCAGGATGTTATCAAGCAGTTAACAGCAGCTAGCCTGAGGAGAGAACCGGTTAGGGTTAATGAACAGTTGAACTTTACACACTTCTGTATTATGCGCCTTTTTTTTAACTTCAGGCACACGTCTACCTTTTTTTATATATATAAACTACAAAAATGGGGCGCCTGGGTGGCTCAGTCGTTGGGCCTCTGCCTTCGGCCCAGGTCATGATCCCGGGGTCCTGGGATCGAGCCCCGCATCGGGCTCCCTGCTCCGCGGGAAGCCTGCTTCTCCCTCTCCTGCTCCCCCTGCTTGTGTTCCCTCTCTCGTTGTGTGTCTCTCTCTCTGTCAAATAAATAAATAAAATCTTTAAAAAACAAAAATTTAAAAAATAAACTACAAAAATTTGTGATCCTGACCAGTACTGTGTGAAACAAAATATTGTGAAATAAATACTTTAAAAATAAATTATCTTTTCGTGTCAGGAAGGTATGAGGAGGGAGGAGACAAAACCTAAATTAAGATGCAGGAACACTTAACACAAAAAGTACCAAGTACCTTTGACAGATACTTGTTCGGGGTGGAGGAGCTTCCTAACCAACACAGAGCTTTCCTGATGACAGGGGAAAAGCAACAGCATGTTCTACGGGTGTTGCTTTAAAAGAGCGGTTTTCAAAATCAGGGATGCACAAGAATCAGCGGGAAAGTGCCGTTTAAAATACGCATTCCCGAGCCCCATCTCCGGATGTTCTGCTTGGGCGGGTCTGGGTGTGGCCCCGAAATGAGCCCTCTTCAAACAAGCACTCAAGTGTCTCTGACACAGATGGTGTGCAGCCCTGAAAGTTACTACTTTCAAATCTTGAGACACATCGATGTCATTCTTCCCCCCTCCCTCTCCGGCCACCTCTTTCCTCCAAAGAGCCTCAGTACGTTTCTAATGCTGCGTCCAGTTAAACATCGTCCACCGACCATTTCGACTCCAGGTGTAACCTGATGGCCGAACTGCTGCAAGCACGTCACTCCACCTCCATTTTTACCTTCCTCGGGGCCTCAGCGCATAACCCTTCCCCCACCAGCCCTTCTTCCGCCCGGCGCGACCATCCCAACGCCGCCACCCACGCCTCAAGCTCCACCTGCCCGCTGCCCCAGATCCGAGGCCCGCCGAACTGGCCACACCACCGCCCGCTCCCCGCTCTCCACCTCCTGTCCCCAGCCGCCAGGGACCCGGCCGCCGAAACCCAAGAGCCACACCTTAAGGCCGCTCCATGAGTCGCTCCCCCGCCGAGCCCGGGGGGGGGGAGGGGGCGTCAGTCACAGGCCCTAAGGCCTCAGCAGCATTTTGAAACGGCGAGTAGTGAGGGCGCAACTTCCGGCCTCCTGAACCCGTCTCGTACCAGAGCTTCCGGTGAGGCCTCCGGAAACCATAGAGGCTCCACTGGAGGGCTAGAGAGGTAGAAAGGCTGAGCTCTCCCTACCATAGAGTAGAGCCCAGTCCAGAGAGAGAGAGAGTCGCAGGTCCGGGACGACTGAGTTTTGAGGTTTCTAGAGAAATCGTTTCAGGAACTCACAGAGTCTGATGGTATTCACAGACGTGTCCTAGGAGATCAAAAATCGAGGAGGGGAGAAACCTAATAGCATAGTCAGAGGCAGCCTTTCGCTGTTCCAAAAAACGCCATTCCCACTGTTCCTCAAGGTTAACTTACTCTTACTCCCCAGAGGTGGTGGCTGGAGAGGGCAAACAGCATGTTAGTGTTGTCGCTAATTGGGGGAGATAGGATTAGAATATACACGAATAACTCAAGATACGTGATAAATGCTGAAAGGTGCAAAGAACCAGGAGGTGGAGCTTCTTTGGATCGTACAGCCTGATAAAAGCACCTGCAACAAATCGCAGGTTGGCCGACTTCCACCTCGGCCGATGCCAAATGGTATTATCCCTCCCAAATACCTCATCTCATTTATTTCAGGATGATTCTAAATGTTAGAGGATTTTCTGAGCTGAAGTATGTGACTTTGCAATTTCTACTGGTTTCAGTTATACACTTGGTAGAACAGAGTAAGGAGTCATTCTTTGTAATATGAATACTATTCAGTCATTTGAAGACAGTTCCCATGTTCCATCCCTAACCCTGTCCCTTGTTTTTCTGCAAGCTAAAAATCCCCTCACAGCCTTCCAACTATTTATTACTTGACATGGCTTCAAGCCACCCTGGTCACCATGTTCTGAATAAGTACTTGTTGGTCCTGTTTAAAATGTGGCTCCCCGGACTGGGTACAGACTCATGTTAAATAAAATGGGGCAATGACCTCCCTTAATTTGCACATTGCACCTTGCTCTATTTCTGACATTAACCTTCCGCATAGCTGGGAGATCCAGATTTCTGTAAATGAGCTGAAGAATTCATTCCTTTTTCACAGTTGTTCTGAAAGAGCTTGAAGTCAGCAACCACCTCTCTCAAAAAATAAAGGGGAGGGGCTTTTTTAGATGAACCACTCTCAACTGTTTCTCCTCTCTTTTTTGTGCAATTAATTTTAGTGTTGTTTTTTTTTAATTCCCAAACAGTAATTTGTATCTTTTAAATAGCATCCAGTTAGTTTAGATCTCTTCCTCCTGTCTCCTGGACTCTTGGAATTATGATCCTGTCCGGCAACTCATTTTGTTTAAGATCAACAAACATTTGTTGAACACCTACTGTGTGCCAAGCAACAATCTAGAAGATTCCAAAGCAAGTAACGCCTGGAATCTGTCTAGTGGAGGAGTCAGTCCAGGTAAAGAGAATGTGGTAAGTGTGGTTAACCTTGCCTGGAAGGTCGAGAGAGATTAGCTCTTTCACTTTTGCATTTTGCAAAATTTTGATCAACATATTTAATTTGCCTTTATCAAAAGTCTTGATAAATATGTTGAATGGTTAAGAATAGAGCTTTCCCCTCATGTTTGACACTGATTCGTGATTAATCATTCATCTTCAAATGTTCTTAAACCACTACTGATCCTACCTAATAGTGGTCAATATCTGGCAACATTTCGCTATCCTTTCCTAAGGAGTTCATAAAATTTCATCAAATGACTTGCTCTAATGAAAATAAACCATAACTAGAGCATTTCTTCTCCTCATCAAGTAAACTTACCAAAAAGAAAATGAAATTAGCTTAACAAGCTCATAACTGACTCAGTGATCACCACTTCCTTCTCTAAGAACGATACTCAAAAACCGTTTATTTAATAAAGAGACAGGAAATCTGGGTTTAGTCTAGTTATTTCTAGAAACCAGAAAGTTACACAGTTCTTCAGTTTCACAGTCTGTAAATAAAATGGCTAAACCAGATGATTTTTCTAGAGCCCCTCAGAGTTCTAAGGGAACTAGAAGTCAATGTTATTGATCTATAGTCTTTCTTAAAAAGTTATAATGAACTACTTCACACGTACAAGGTATAAAGAAGAATATAATCTCCTTTTCCCCACCACTCTTCCTAAAGAACAATACTTTACCTATTACAAAAAAGTTTCCTATAGTCTATTCTCCTATGGCATCTCCCTCCTTCAACTCCAAAACGAACTATTCTGAATTCGGTATTTACCCCTGCCATGGACTTCCTTAGACTTTAGGATTTATATATGTATATATTCCTTAAAAATATTTTATGCTTTTAAAATGTTTATAAATGGCATCAAACTGTATGTATTCTACTACAACTTGCATTTTTGCTGATCATTTTGAAGTTTCACAATGTTAAATCATGTATAGTTGATTTTCAATATTATTTAGTAATGTATAGTAATATATTGAATTGTGTAATTGTTATATAGTAATTGTGATTTTTTAAAATATTTTATTAATTTATTTGACAGAGAGAGACACAGCGAGAGAGGGAATACAAGCAGGAGGAGTGGGAGAGGGAGAAGCAGGCTTCCCGCGGAGCAGGGAGCCCCATGCGGGACTCGATCCCAGGACCCTGGGATCATGACCTGAGCCAAAGGCAGACACTTAACGACTGAGCCACCCAGGCGCCCCAGTAATTGTGATTTTCTAGGGCTACTATCACAAAATACCACAGACTGGGTGACTTAAACAATAGAAATTTGTTTTCTCACAGTTCTGTGTGCTAGAAGTATAAGATCAAGGTGTTGGCAAATTTGGTTTCTTCTGATACCTCTCCTTGGCTTGTTGTACGTGGCTGCCTTCTTGTTTTGTCCTCAACACTTGGTCTGTAAGTTGTCTGCATCCTAATCTCTTCTTATAAGGACACCAGCCATAATGGATTAGGGCCCACCCATAGGACTTCATTTTACCTTCATCACCCCTGCAAAAGACCTGTCTCCAAATAGAGTCACATTCCCAGGTGCTCAGGGGTTAGGTCTTCAACACAGTAATCTGGAGGTAGGGGGACACAATTCAGCGTGTAACAGTAATGAATGCACCACAATTTTTTATTCATAAATACTTAGGTGTTTCCAATCGTTTGCTGTTACAAACAATGCTGTCATCGACATTCTTGTACTTGTGCACTCTAGGGAGTAGAATTATTGGGTCACAAACACATTGTCAACACTACCAGATCATAACACAGTGCTCTCCAAAGTGTTTGTAGATGTATACACTCCTGATGGGTGTGTATAAGATTCTATTGCTCACATTATAGACAATAGCCAAACTATGGAAAGAGCCCAAATGTCCAATTACTAATGAATGGATAAAGAAGATGTGATACACACACATGAGAATATTATTCAGCCATAAAAAAAAAAAAATGAGGGGCGCCTGGGTGGCTCAGTCGTTAAGCGTCTGCCTTCAGCTCAGGTCACGATCCCAGGGTCCTCGGATCGAGCCCCACATCGGGCTCCCTGCTCCGCAGGAGGCCTGTTTCTCCCTCTCCCACTCCCCCTGCTTGTGTTCCCTCTCTCGCTGTCTCTCTCTCTGTCAAATAAATAAATAAAATCTTTTCTAAAAAAATGAAATCTTGCCATTTGCAAAGAAGTGGATGAAGCTACAGTGTATTATTGCTAAGTGAAATAAGTCAGTCAGAGAAAGACAAATACCATTATGACCTCACTCATATGTGGAATTTAAGAAAGAAAACAGATGAACGTATGGGAAGGGGGAAAAGAAAAAAAGAAGAGAGGGAAACAAGCCGAAAGAGACTCTTAACGATAGAGAACAAACTGAGGGTTGATGGAGGGAGGTGGGTGGGGAGTGGGCTAGATGGTGATGAGCACTGGGTGTTGTGATGGACCACTGAATTCTACTCCTGAAACCAATATTACACTATATGTTAACTAACAAAATTTAAATTAAAAAATAAATAAATAAACTAGAAGTGCCGCAATTAAAAAAAAAGATTCTGTTGATCCACATCTTCGCCAATCCTTGGTATTGTCAGATTATTAAAAAAAAAAAATGTGATAGATGTGAGAATTTCTCATGGTGGCTTGATTTATATGGTGGCCCATGATTATTAGTAAGGTTGAACGTTTTTTCGTATTTATTGACCATGGTTACTCACCTGTGAATTGCCTGTCCATATCTTTTGCCCATTTTTCTGTTGGTTTGTCTATTCCTTACTGATTTATACGAGTCCTCTATGTAAACTGGATATTAATCCTTCTTGATTATATATATCACAAAATAAATCTTCAAATCTACAACTTGTTTTCACTTTTTAAATGTCTTTTGATAAATAGTTTTTTTAAATGAAGTCAGATTTATTAATTATTTTATGTTTCACTTCCTTTTTTTTTATTTAGGAGATTCTTCCCTGTTTTGGGGTCATAAATATACTCTCATATACTTTCTCCTAAAAGTTCTAAAGATTCACTTTTCACATTTAGGCCTTTAATTCATCCTCAGTTGATTTTTGTGCATGTTATAACATGGAGATCCAATTTTATTTTTTCAATTTGAAAAATAAATGTCTGGCTCTATTACTGAATCTATAAACTGAATGTGAGCCTATCTATAGTCTCGAATTAATCTTTCCTTCCTATTTAACACAATCTTTGAAGGTTTTGTAGAAGAATAATCATTTGAGTGGACCTTAAAAAATGAATAGGATTCCAAGAGGCAGAAATGGGAGAAGTAATTTGAAGAAACATGGCACAAATAATGAGATGAGGAATTTAGAAGAGACGGTCTTAAAACGGAAAAGAATCTACTTTGATCAAAGTGTTGGTCACTGAGTAAAAGATTGGCATGGTATTGAATCCCACTGTCCAATATAATACCCACCAGCCACGTGTGGCTTGAAATGTGGCTAGTCCAAATTGAGATGTGCTCTAAGTGTAAAATACACCTCAGATTTCAAAGACTTAGTAGGGCTTTTTTCTGGTTACTGCGGTGCAAGGAACCATAAGCAGCAGAGTCTCCCGCGAGACCCTGTATGAGGCAGTGTGGGAAGTCCTGCACGGGAACCCGCACAAGTGCCGGAAGTTTTCAGAGATGGTGGAGCTGCAGATCAGCCTGAGGAACAATGACCCTTATAAGGACAAATGCTTCTTGGGCACCGTCAGGCTTAAGTCCACTCCCCGCCCCAAGTTTTCCGTATGTGTTTTGAGGGACCAACAGCACTGTGATGAGTCCAAGGCTGTGGATATTCCCCACATGGATATTGAGGTGCTGAAGAAACTCAACAAGAATAAAAAATTAGTCAAGAAGCTGGGCAAGAAGTATGATGCCTTTTTGGCTTCAGAATCTCTGATCAAGCAGATCCCATGAATCCTGGGCCCATGACTGAATAAGGCTGGCAGGTTCCCTCTCTTGCTGACCCACAATGAGAACATGGTGGCCAAAGTGGATGAAGTGAAGTCCACAATCAAATTCCAGATGAAGAAGGTGTTGTGTCTGGCGGTGATGGTTGGCCACATGAAGATGACAAATGATGAGCTCATGTACAACATCCACTTAGCTGTCAATTTCCTGGCATCATTGCTCAAGAAGAGTTGGCAGGACATCCAGGCTTTATACATCAAGAGAACCATGGGCAAGCCCCAGTGCCTGTACTAAGCACAGTTTAATAAACCCTAGTGTGCTACCATTAAAAAAAAGACTTAGGAAAAAATACTGTAAAGTATCTCAGTAATGTTTTATATTAATTACATATCAAAATGATATTTTGGATATATTGGGTTGAAAAAATATATAATTAAAATTAATTTCATCTGTTTCTTTTTACTTTTCTTAATGTGGCTACTAGAAATTTTTAAATAACAATTGTGGTTTGCATTATATTATATTGGGACTGGTATGGAATGCCAGCAAAGTAGGCCAGGACCAGATTGTGGAGGATTTTGAATGGTGTTATAAAAAGTTCCATGTGTCACTCATTAAAGTAGTAGGAGAGAATCAAAGAGTTTTGAGGAAAGGAAAGGCAGTTTAATATTCCTAACTTAATGACTAAGCATCCTGTCTGCACACAGCCAATTTTAGAAACCATTTTACCATTAGCTCTGGGCAGATGATTAATTCTGGCAATGTGATTCTGATGAGAATATTTGATGTGGTAGTCCTTGCGTTTTTATTGTAGCACGAATGAAACAAATCTAATGTGTGGCTCCTTTAAGGGGAAATTGGGACATAAATGAGCCAAACTTTTAATAATTCCCCATTACTTAGGGGATAAAGTGATTCTTTTTGTCTGGAATTAACTCAGTATTGTCAGCTTTCAAAATTCTCTACATCTCCCCCCAGTCCAGTCAAATATGTTTAAGCCTTATATACAGTATGGTCACTATAGTTAATAATGCTGTAGTGCATATTTGAAAGTTGCTAAGAGAGTAGATCTTGAAAGTTCTCATCATAAGAAAGAAAACTTGTTACTGTGTGTGGTGACAAGTTCACTAGACTTATTGTGGTGATCATTTTGCAATGTATACAAATACGGAATTGTTATGTTGTGCACCTGAAACTGTTATAGGTCAATTATACCTGGGTAAGAAAATAATTGTTAACATATGTTAAGTGTTGAAGTGTAGATAGTGTTAGAATGCTAGAAAGAGCAGAATCTGTAGTCTGTTCTTGTTACTTCTCTGCCATTGTCTTTACGTGACTTCATGATTGCTTATTTCTTGTCAGACACCATTCTAAACAATTTGTATAAACTATCTTAGGAATTCTCACAATTACTCTATTGTCCTGAGACACAGAGAAGTAGCTTGCTCAAGAACACATAGTGGAATAAGGTTTGTTTTTTATTTTTTGGAAGTAAGCTTTCAAAGAGGGGCACCTAAATTCAGAACCCAGGCTTTATGTAGAAACATTTATCCTTTCAGTTTTTCAATGGACACATATGCACCTTTTTAAAAAATTGCTTTGAAATATTTCCTAACTTAACAATATTTTGCAATTTTTCCCGAGTTGTATTCTTGTATAACATGATTATTAGTAGCTATATAATATTCCATGTATTAAGGCTGTACCATAATTTGTATAGCCGTTTTGTCATTTGCAATATTTTCCAATCAAAATACCATGACGATCTTTCCTGTAATCAAGTTTTTTTTATACACCCTTGATTATTTCTCTAGGACAAATTCCTACAAGTGAAATTTCTGGGCCAGAGCAATCACTCCTAAAGCGCTGGAATTAAGCAGATGGAATGAAGGGAAAGCAACAGAGACTCTTCACTGTCCCACCCTCAGCCCCATGGTGGGTAATTCTCCAAGACCAGCCCTGTAGAAGAAGGCAGTGCTCAGACTGCTGATGGATGTGGAAGAGAAGAGCCTCCAGGGCTATGATCAATGAAATCTCTCCACTGGCACGTTCAGCTTTCCTGTCTCTCTGGCTTGCAGGGCTACTGCCCCCCAGGGTCACGGCTGGGGACTTCCTCCAGGGTTTGCGTCACTTAAAAATTACTTGGACGTCTTCAAGGGACGTATAGGACAATCACACTATCCCTCTGCAGGGTCCTTTCTCGCACTCCAAACTACGCAGTTCAACCCAGCAGCTTCCGAGCAGTGTATTTATATTCTCTCTTAATCTTTTCTTTTCTGTTGTCGGTTCGGCTTTAGAACTGATATCCGCCCTATTATCAATAGTAAAATAGATCTGATGCCACTATACAACACTTCAAAGGTGGTAAACCTCGCGTCCCCTTACTCCTGGAGAGAGATTACAAATCAAAGAAGCCTACGTGATCATGGTTATTGAGCATATAAATACCTCGAAATTCTGAAGTAGCTGCTAATGCTGGTGAAAAGTGCGTGATTTAGGTCTTCTGTTTCTCTTTGTTGTAGGAATCCTGAGCTTTCTCGGGTTTAAAACAGTTTCACAAAACACAGGTGGAAGAAATCGAGTACACAAGGTTCTTTATTCTTATGTAAGGCATTGTAGTAGAAGCCTTTTCTCGTGAGAGCCCGGATAGCTCAGTCGGTAGAGCATCAGACTTTTAATCTGAGGGTCCAGGGTTCAAGTCCCTGTTCGGGCGCTTTGCTTTAACGTTCGCGTTTACTTTTCTCTTCAACTATTAACAAGCTGAGAAACGCAAATTTTGTCTCAATGGGAAACCACTGCGCAAAAACTGCCATATTCGCCAAGAAATTAAGTGATTTTGCATAGTCGGTTTTTCTCTTCCCTGAGAACACATTTACCTTGCATATTCTAAAAGCAATGAAAAATTGAATTCAGTTTAAAGTGGAAGTACGTTTTATCACAAGAATTTCTTATGCTAATATTTGGTAATGTAAGTAAGGGGCAAAAGCCACAGACGCCCGAACAGGGACTTGAACCCTGGACCCTCAGATTAAAAGTCTGATGCTCTACCGACTGAGCTATCCGGGCGCTCTTAAGAAACATTGCTCTTCTGTTTACTTGATATAATTCTAATAAGTTACTTCTCTGGCAAAATACATTTTAAAGTGCCTTTTTCAACACAATAAAGAAAAACATTCGCTTTCCTATCCTTTTCTCCATTTACTTAAGACACATGTTCTTCAAGTTCTCTCATATTTCATGTTTACTCAATTGCCAATATCTACAAAACTGAAACGAAACAGTAGTAACTTACAAGACAAGGCATCCAACATTAAGCTTTCAGACATAGAGTTGCAACCTCTTTTTATTATAATTCTTCTGTCTTCTATCACTTCGCTGATAGGACCTCTTAATTTTAGTTAACTCTATGGAGCCAGATTACCGTATTTGTCCCCTTAATGAAAAATACATTTCCATTCACTAGATGATGTCGCTGTTAGATAAGCATTCCTCAGCACAAAAGAAGGAAAGACGCATTTGATTCATGAATAGAGGAGCTAATAGAAGAAAATAAAAGTAACAGTGGGAACGTGGGACCAAATTCAGATTGAGAGAAAAGGAGCTTAGACTTTTAAGTTTTGATCGAAGTTTTGCCTTTCCCCGCCTTCCAGGCAAGTTGCAGTTTTCAAGTCAGGCTCACAAAATGAGCCCTCCTAAAGCAGTGTGCACCAGTAGGAGCAACATGGAGTATTAAGAACAAAACCCTCCAGATCAGCCTAGTCTTTCTTAAAATCAGTTTCATCAACCCTGACGCATAGGGTGTGGAACACAGGATTATGAAATTTCAAAAACTGATAAGGATATTCATTTTTTATTTCTGGGAACTTGAGGCTTCTAAACACAATGAACAACAAAACAGCTCAGCCTCAGTTGGAGGGATTTCTTTCCTATAATTGTCTGGTTCTTTTAGAACAAAGACCAACAAATTATGTGATCCTGAGCAGGCCTGGGTTTCCACATCTATAAAATGAGGGAATTGATTGGTTGACCTGTAAGATACCTGCTAAATCTAAATCTATTACTTTTCCCACTGTGAATAAGATTAGAAGTAACAGACTCAAAATGCAACAGGAAGGAATTATTTAACTGAGCAAATGTTTATTGATCATTTATGATGGCTTAGGTCCTGTGCTAGCTCTAGAATAGAAGATAAATTGGACATGGATCCTGCTTACAGCCTAGGAAAGAAGGTGGACACTTAAGCCAACCACTTTAACAAAGTAATGAATGCAGTAATAAGAATCAAGTACAGCATGGCAGGAGATGAGCCTGGACAGAAAGGCCGTGGTTATTAAATGAGGATGGGGACCCTCGAGTTTTCAGCAAGAAAAACACAGGTCAGAGTTGAATTTAAACAAGTTACTGTCAGAGGTATACAGAGTAGATTGTAATGAGCCACCAGACATTTGTCATTTACTTATTCAGACATGTCTTGAGCACATACTGTGTTAAATAAGGAAAACTTCTTGCTCTGTTTTTATGAAATGCATTATACCTAACCTTTTTTTTAAGGAAGGGAAATGGTATCTGTCCAGGCTCCCTAAAGGGCAAAGAACAGAGGGACCTTGAAGGTTTTTTTCTTTCCCTTGAGCAGGGTCTTTGTTACCTGGTATTCCCTTTCCTTCAGGATAATAAACCTGCTGTTTAAAGTTGAACAGACTGAATGAGATTGACCCATCAACTTGCTTATTGAGTACCTACTATTTCCACAGCAGTAAACTAGGCACAGTGGGAAGGAAAACAGTAAGCCCGAAAGAAAAGTGGGGAGTGTATATTGGGTTTGAAGGCTGGTGAACAGGTTAGTGTGGCTGGAACGGAGGAAGGTAGAGAGAGGAGGTGTCAGATACAGAAAAGCTGGTCAGCTTTCAGGCCAAGGAGAAAAATTATATCATATAGGCAATGGCAAAGTTTGAAAGTTGAATCGAAGGTTTGTCTTGTTAACACTGCAATGTCCCACCTGAGGTAGCAGGAACTGAATCGTCTTTGCCCTACGTTGCATTACACACACCGGCAGGAGCGCTCTCTTGTACCATATTTAGCGATAACCCTGGAGTACTTCGAGCTTCTCACTTCCCATACTGTCTAACTTAATTCTCCCGCTAGAGGGCAGTCTAAACTCACAGATTCTATGTTGGGGACCCCGCCCCACATTTCTTAAGCATCATTTCCTCCACTAATTTACCCCCTTTTAAATTAAGTTTTTATTTTAATTTAGTATAGCTAAATAATATGGTGTTATATTAGCCTCAGGTGTTCCCCCAATTTGTA